GATTCCTCATCAGGGTGAATAACGGTCGAGGAAATCCTCGACCATAGCTCTCTACCATGCGAGAGTAGTGCCGAGAGTGAACATCCGCGCGGAGAGCACAGACGGCACGCATGGCGAGTGTGAATGTCCGCGCGAGAGATCGTGTCTGATCGGGCAGAGAATCCTCGACGTGCCGTTGAGGAATCCTCAAGCGATATTCACCCTGGTCCAAGCGATCCATCGCGGAAACTTGTTCTATTTCCAGTGATCACAACTGACATATTCATGTTGGGAAAGAGTGCAAGAATTTTCCGCGCAAGATTCCTTTAAAGGTTCACAAATTTGACCCACTAAAGGAATTCATTTATTTACTGCTGACAGCTTCGAGGTGACGTTCTGCGCTTATCACCTTTTCTGTTGAGCACAATGCCTTGAAAGGAACAAAGTTTATCGACTCTAAAAAGGCGCTAAGTAAGCATTACGTAGTGTAGGGTCCGTCCAGCCCGTTCAGCCGTGTGGTCTTCTTATCCATTTGCAACTTCATGGCAACTAATCGGAGCAAAATTTACTATTAGAAGGGAGCTTCTTAGAATTAAATTAATTTCGATGAAAAGTTAGCTCATTGGAAATAAGGGTAGAGGTGGTCAGTGGAGCAGGGATGAAGAAGAAACCATGAAACGGCCCGAAACCCGAGAAATGGGACCCCTTCCTTGCCCGTTGATTTGCGCATTGATGCGACTCTCATCGCTGTGCCCTCTTCAACACTACGCTCTCTCTGCTATCTAATCACTCGCCACGTATAGACCTGCGGCGAGTGAGATAGTCGGTGGGCGTACCCCGCCAACCGCGCCAAGAGTGAGCCATGCTAGATCGCCGAGGTCAAATCTTTCGCTGCCAATTGCGCGTCGGTCAGCACCCTCAGGAGGTCCGCCTGTCTCCCAACTATGCAATTTTCCCTTCTTTGACCTTCGTTCTTATCGTGAATTCCTCCTTTAAGGTAGAAATAGTAGCGGTGCTGGAATGAAGAAAAACTATGAGAAAAGGCGAATAACTCGAGAAATGGGACCCCTTCCTTGCCCGTTGATTTCCGCATTGATGCGACTCTCATCGGTGCTGCCCTCTTCAACGCTAACTCTTTCTAAACTGGCGAGTGGCTAGCTAGTCGATGGGCGTGGTGCGCCGACAGCGCCGCGGGAGAGGCCAAGCTAGTCGCCAAGAGCATATTTTTCCGAAGAATTTCGTGCAGGTTCGCATCCACAAAAGGTCGACCCCAGTTGTGCGCTGCACGATTGGCACCTTCTACATTTGCTCTCACTGTACTCGGGAAATTTACGGTGGTTGATGGTGCCTGCTAATCTCTCCCTAGACACTCTTGACCCTCAACATTATGCCAGAAATTACCCTTGTTCGGGAAAATTTTGACCGGACCTCATCTTCAGGTTGCATACACTCTCAGGCTGACACTGTAAGGTTTCCAACCAGAGCCCATGGAAACTGACGTAAAGGTTAATAAGCGCCAATTGACAATATGACTTTAGTTTTGGCGCTGGTGCAATGTTCGCGATCAACAGAATAACCTTTAGAGCTAGATGTCAAAGAATGTAACTTGGAAGAAACCAGCCACCAGAAGCGTCCCTGTTCGAATATCCCAATATTTGATGATCGATTGATATTTTAGCAAAGCCTTGAATTTTTTTGAAATCAGAGTCAGCCTTCCGTTGATATTTAGCTAACGAGGGGGGTCATATTTCGTAAGGGAGTGTTGTAAGTTTACATTTGGGGACACTGTGTGGCGCAGAAACAATGTGTAAAGTTTAGTGTTCCAGCAGTTACGTATCCCTTCCCCCGCCCCCACCTGAGAGACTTCGAATATTCGAGAATATGCTTTCGAAGGGGTCAGAGGATTCGAACTTAGCGGTCTTAAGGATCCCCTTCGACTTTGCTCGAAATTAATTCTTTCGCCCATGGAAATGATTCGCGGAGTGAAGAGTGTTTTTATAAATGCGTGGAACATTTTATCGAGGCGAGCAGAGGCATTAAACTTTTGGTCTTGCAGTTTACAGCCTGTTGCGAGAATGCTACGAGACTCGAAAAAGACTCCACATGACTGAAAGTTTAATGGAGAAAACTTTATTAATATTGCTGTCATTCAAGTGACTAACAACCTTCGTCTAATAACTGACATTGTATTTTTTTCAAAGGATCAAATTCGGCACTTTTTCTTCAAGGTGCTTTTTGTGGAGCTTTTCTGAAAGAGAAGGACCTGTAATTATGTACTTCACAGAATTTGCTTCCGATCCACGCTTGAAAGGTAGTCATTTCATTTTAGAACTCCTTACCTTTGTACCACGATGGAGGGGCTGCTGGTCCTACTCCCATCCACGGTTTCCAGCCAGGAATCCATCCACCACTGTCAGCTCCATCATCAGGAGAGAGATTGAACGTATTTTTTCTTTTCGCCTCTGCTGAAATTTTTTTTTTGAATGAAAAGCCCGTTCTGGCGACGTTCCCGAAACTCAAAATTTTCCCAGCGCAACGGTGAGCCTTGCGCGTGCTGAAGAGTTATGGACTTCGAACTAGAGTTCAGCTCACCCTCCCTCCTCCTCCCCCCCCCAGAGATCGCAGACGACGCGGCTGCTAGCGATTTTATTATGCTTTCAGTGACAGTAGCGATTTTGAATGCGGTAAGTTAAAATATATTTTGGAACCATAACACCCCTGATCCTCGCCACAAAACTCGACCTCCGAACGCCTCCTAGTTTACAGTGCTAGCTTCGTTTCTAGGGGAAACCATGCCAGGAGGAAGAATTCCCACGAAGACGGTGCCGAATTACGACACCTGCAGAATCTGGTTTGCCGGACGCCGCAATTCGGGTGAGAAATAATCTCTCGAGAAAACGTCGTAATCGTAGGACTGATTCTCTATAATAAGATTGTGGCATTCGAACAATTTCATTGAAACAATGTTTTTAAAGAAGCCCCAACTACAATGACAAAGGCTGTCACTCTTGCGTCTGCGCTTACGAGATCCTTTTACCGTGGACGATTACCAACCTCAGAGTTCGCTTATGCGGATGCCCTCCCAAAACCCCCAAAAAAAGTGGAAAGGATGTCAACTGTCGTTGATTTCAATAGCTCCCCCCCCAGTAGTCCCAGGTTAAACTGTCACTTCACATCTTGAGATTTAGACAGTCCTGATTCATCATGGAGAAGTGCTTATAGCTTGTACATTCATATATTATACAAATATGCACTATACCTTGTTCAGCTCGTGCAATACCAGTCGGCAGTGTCGAAGAGGTCTTCCGTGGATGTATTACTGGTTCATGTTTTAGAGGAAGTCTTACTGGTCCAGGTTCTAAGCAGTATTTCAGTATTTTACGGATCATAGCTTTATCTTCGCGCCCGTACTCTATAAAAAAACTTTAAGAAGCTGTTGAAGAATTTCGGAAATTGGATACAAGGAAAAGAAAACGCTTTTTCCTTTTCGCCCGTTCTTCCGATGCCTCTACGGATTTCAATGGTTTGATTGCATAACGCATTTTGAAGGGTATTGATCAGTGCCAACATGTATGCCTTAACCACACGCTATGGGATCAATGCGCACCATAGCAACCTTTTTCTCCTACTGCAGTGGCCCATGTAGTTCTCCTCTACTATCCGCTATCACGGCTATGTCGTCAGCGTAGAGGATGGTCTTCAGTGGTCCCTTCATGAGCCCCATCACAAGAGCATCTATTGTCAGGAGCAACACCGGATCGAGATCCCCAGCAAGCTGCATTCTTGGTGCACCCAACAAAAAATAGTCCACCTCCTTTCCTGAGACCGTGTGGGTGGTCTATAGCAGCTTTACCCACTGTAGCACTATTCTTACGAGAGAGGGGGGCTGATTCAGGGGGGTGGTAATGGGCCGAGATGTGGCCAATCAAGTGGTGGTTGATTTACACCATCCTGGCGATGCCGAATAGAGGAGCGTTGGAAAACAGTCGGACATGGACCCTAGTTGAAACCACCAGCCTCGCCACACGACCTACAAAATTTGCATCACTTTCGGACTTGAGCCCTAGATGGTAAGGCTCATATCCGGCTCCTTTGCCACTGATCCATTTGGAAAAAAAAACGAAAAAAAAAAAAAAAAAAAAAAAAAAAAAAAAAAAAAAATCACTCGACCACACCACTGGAAGATGTTGATGAAAGGTATGCAATGGATGTTGTTTGCAAATCTTAGTCTCCAAGCGGTGCTGATCCAGCAACCTTGCCAGCGGCAGCGTGGAACGTCCCCATTGAGCCAATGGCAATTTGCCATAGGCGAAGTGGTGAGCATCCACCACGTTGCTTGCAAAAGTCGCGTCACACACGGGTTTGAACCTTCGGTGCATCGTCCCATGAGCGGCATCGCTACCACTGCACTATGGAGCCCTTCTTATTGACGGTGAAAGAATTCTAGAGGAAAGGCAATAACCCACAAAAGTTGCAAAGATTTTGACATCTAGTAGTATCGATCCCGTGGCCGGCTCAACACCAACGTGGACCGCAGGCGCTACACCATTGACGGATCAATGCAAGTTGCTTCCCTTTCCCTTTTCAACACACTTGCTTTGACCCACACAGCCTGGCTGTTTGGAGATGGCCATCTCTAAAAAGTCCTCCGGAGGACTTTTTAGAGATGAAGTGGCAGCATGTTTGCGCCCTCCACCGCGCGCGCACTATTTCCTTTTCCTCTGCCGCCATCGCTGTTAGTTTATAAATGACCACCCTGCTAATCCTCTTACTGGAACGTGATGTCGTCACCCCCAACTTCCGAGGGAGTTCGAACTCACTTCGACCATTTCCGACGGGGAATCTTCGGAGGGGGCTCTTAAGGTGTTCCTACAGCATATTTATAGGGTAACGTTCCGTTTGGTAGTCCACCAGTGCAAGTTACCAGACTTCACTCCGCTACGAGGGCAACACTAGCAGTTGAAGGCCACTTTTACCTACCGTCCAGCCGTTTCTGGCACGTTTCGTTCGCTGAGCGCCCTCCATTGCACTGCTCGCGATAGCCAGTCGAACGTTTTCTTCAGTCGAGGAAGGCAAGGTAGCAGGGTCGACGCTTTTCTCGACACTCCTCCATCACTTGCCTTGCGATGAGGATGGCATCTGTTGTAGACCTTCCGGGCATGTCCGAACTGTTCCTGCGAGATCGGGACCAGCTCCTTCAGCTTCGAATCGACTAGCTGTTGGTACAACTTTATGATATGCGCATCAAACTTGCATATCACCCGGTACATCCTTTGGAGCAGCTCCATTGCGTCCCTCTTGCAACGATGAGAGACGATAGTTCATAGCTTTCTCCAGGCATCCGGCATCCTTCCTTCGGCCGCAGTGACATGGCTCAGGGAAGCTCGCGGGTAAGGAATATCTGATCCCGTACTCTCCGAGCGCCTTCTATACCCCGATTGGCACCCTATCTAGACCCACCGCCTTCCCAACCTTCATCTTTCCTAAGCCGCGATGGACCTCATCTTCTGTCCTTAGAGAGATGGGGCCAGCCGTTGCCTCTGATTGCGAGTTACCTTTGTGAGGGACTTCCTCGTTCTGTAGTGCACTTGTAGTACTCTTCCCCCCTCCTCTTGACTTCAGCTGGCTTCCTCAGGATGGTGCCGTTCGTTACTCTTCACATCTTCACCACCCTGATATCTTGGGTAGCTCGATGCCGGGCTTTAGCCAGTCTGAAGACGAACTTCTCTGCGTTTCGGCTCTCCAACTTCTCGTACAAGGCGTCCATCTCCGTGTTCTTGCCTTGGCGACGGCAGCCTTAGCGAGCCTCTTGCAACTCTTGTAGGCAGCGAGGTCCTCGGGGCTCCGGGTCTTCTGCCAGCGCTTGTATGCTTCCTTCTTCTGCTTCACGACTCGCTGGACCTCCTCGTTCCAGAACCACGCTGCCTTGTCTCCTCTGAATCCACCTCGCGTCTCGCCCAGTACCTCCTTTGGCGCATTGTAGGATAACCTTAGCGGCATTGCTCCATGTCAGCTGAGCTGGTCCACGTGGATCTGGGAGGTCACCCGCTATCCAAACATCCCTGTTGATCAAGCACAGCGGCAGTTTTTCGGAAATCAACATGAACAAAAAGCAATGCTAGCAGCACTTTTTGACCCATTAACATCAATCAACTATCAGTAATGGCTATAACTGAGAACTTGAGCAACTTGGAGTACCCTTACTGTGAATTCAAGACAAAGGGGAGTAATTTCAATTGAGAAGGCCTCAACGCTTTCGTGAAACACCTTACAGTGGTCTTTAGCTAAATGTTACTCTCCTTTTCATAGCACGTCACTTAGAAATATGACCTTAACACGCTTCCTATATGACTTTCAAGACCTCTAGGTGCCCCTAAACTACTTTGCAAGACCTCTGCTCATGGCGAGACGTCCTCAGGAGCCACACATTTTCACGTGAATTGTATGTACCTCTCAAATTTCCCTTTCCGCATCGGCACCACAGTTTTACATCTAACAGGCTTCTCAAGCTTTTCCTTTGCAATAGCACCTCCTTCCTACATTTATCAAGATTCTATTGCACTCTTCCACTGTATCTGCACAATCCTATTACGGTGGTCATGCTTCCCCGTACCCTCTCAGCATGAGAGCGTACCTTCTACTATGCCAGACTTCATCAATTTCTCCATAAGCCGTTACTCGCCCTTTACGTGCGTTCTGCTCCGCATGATTCCCAAGCTTCTAGAAACGTCTAATACACATTTTTCGATGGCGTGGTGACCCTTAAGTTGTCACCCTCAAGGAATCCTTCGCGGAAAATTCTTGCATTCTTTCCCAACATGAATATGTCAGTTGTGATCACTAGAGACAACATACAAAGTTTCACGCACAAAGATTCGGTTTCCGAAGAGAAACAAACTTACAAAAACCACATTATAAAAACCGCACAGTCAAAGGTAAGCGGCTCGGAGCCAAAGGCGGGGCATGGAAAGAAGCCGCCTCGGTGCGGCCCCGTATCAGGCAGTGAAAGCATTGGGTCAAAGCAGGCGATTTTGAAGAGTAGGTACAAATAGATAGTTAGCGCAGGATGCGGTAGAAGTGTGAGATGTAATGCAATAAGTCAAAAGGCCAGGAAAAATTTCTGGTGATGGTCCTTCGAAAACCGGGTGGAGTGTTCCCGTTGCTAGCATTTGTGACAGATGTCCGACGGGAATTTGAACGCGTAGCAGCCCTTTCGTTTTTTTTTCGAATTTACTAAAACAAAGGCAATTTTTCAGTTCTTCTCGTTCTTATCGTGAACGATGGGTCCCATGCCAGTGAATTATGGGTGAAATAGAATCACTATTTCCCGAGAAGGATTCCTCCAATGAGTTCACTTTATCCGGGAGTTTCGCACCTAGCTAACGTTATCTCGCACCTATGGTGAGAAGGCCATTTTTACCCACTCGGATTAGAGCACAGATCCGGAGGTAACGAAAATCCTTGATCACTCCACCATGCACAGCTCCAGCTATCGCAAATATGGCGATGATAATATTCATTCCAAAGAGAATATCCTCACGTTCTATTCACTGAAAATATGATATTTCGAGGAAGTCCTGAAATATTGTACTGTCTCCAATTCGAGTTCGGAGTTGATCGCTTCTAGAGCAGAGCTTTCATGCTCTAAGAAGAGAAAATTCACGTGAAACTCCCTCTGGACTTTCCGAAAACCCTGCTTCATTCGGTTTGGCGCTATCGCCATATACGGGGTATTATGACGGCTAATGCTTTAAAACTAGTAAGACTGTCGTTTCCATGTTAAGAACGGGACTAAGCCTTAGGCGGAGACGAAGAGACTTCAAGGAGCGTGAGGAATTTTCATTTTCACCGGATTCACCGGAGGTCCCCTCGCTGTTGGGTCTATCCTAGAGGAGAGCCCCTGCATATTGCGATGCGCCTATTTATTTATTTATTTATTTATTTAGGGCTACTGTTACAGCAAATCGAAAAATACAGGTCTAAGTAAACGAACGATCGATTTGATAATAAAAGGAATAAAGCGGAAGGTTAGTATAATGAGCTTTAGTGGAGAAGAACTTTACAATTTAAGAAAAACATTGATCAAACGAACTTGACAGGGAAGAGATAGGGACGGGGCATGTGGTCAACTTGTGAAGAGCGTCGGCAATGGCCGCCAACATTGCAAACTGCAGGAATGACAAGCCATGGATGAAAAGCCGCTTGAACACATTACTTCTGGACTTTTCAGTAGGGACCACAAGGCAAAACTTTGGCGATAACTGGTTTGGCGATTTCGCAGTTTAGGGAACTGGCAGTAGGTAGATCGTGTGAAACCCGCCAAAAACTGTGTTCCATGAAGAAAGCGCAGCAAAACCTGGAGCCATTTCAACTCACCATTATAAACATC